CTCCGTGGATACCAGAATGAGTGGCTACCATTTGTTGGGGCAGTGGACATTAATAAAATACAAGGGGGAAATACATGATTGTTTGGCTGTATTATTTGTAGAAACACTTTTTTTTTAGAGAACAAGTTGCAAAATTATTTCTTTTGTCTAGACTTCTCTCTAATGTGACTTAATAGTGTTCTGAGATCAACTTAACAAAAGCAGGTCACACATAAAATACCTATTTCAGAAAACAGTGGTGCAGTTCAGCTGTTTTTGAGGTTCTTGGTTGTGTGTGTGCAGAGCATTATGTGTAACTGCAGAGGATGATATTTTTAAAAAACTTTTTTATATGTAACTGCAGAGGATGGTATTTTTAAAAAACTTTATTTCCAGTGTGGCTCAAAGTTGTAATGTGTCTTTTGTTCATCTATTATACTTGAGCAGAAGGCATGCTAAAATGCCTACTAGTACCCTAGTAGAGAATTTATAAAACTAATGCCAACAATTACCATATTAGGACTTTTGCTAGTTTACATTGTTTAGAACTGAACAGCAGAAGCAGATTGTTACATAGTGTCCTCTAAAATGTAAATCCAAGGCATGTATCGTATAACAAGTTGAAAATAGGAGCTGGGTGCACGTTCACTTAAATATCTGAAAATAATTTTTAGTAAGTGTGGTTACTTAAAACTAGCATGTGACCAAAACCTATAATTCAGACAGTAATTGTTTATCTGTAAGTTTTATCTCCTGTTAATAGTGTGTTTGGCCTGGGTATGCTTTCTCTTTCATAAAGAAAAACTTGGCAGCAAAAACTCAGGTTAAACCTCTGGTTTTCGGCTGTAGTGAGAATCAGCTGTAAGTGAGCAGAGTCACAACTGATATATGCTGTTTTCATAGGCTCTTGAAGCAATAGGCTGTTGGATTTTGATCCCGCCCAGAATACTTGAGTTTTTCTCTGCAAGGATATATAATAGCGGTAAGTTCTAGAAGCAGGCATTTCTTTTTGCTTTTTCCCTTTAGCACGATGTACAGTTTGCCTTTTCACAGAATAGGTATACTAGCTTTTTTACTCTTCAACAGGTTTTGCCTGCCCACCTAAGAAAAAAAGGCAATGGAGACTGAACAACAGGAAGAGACCTTTACCAACACAGAGACAAATGGTAAATTTTTTAAAGGACTGTTTCTTTTTAGAAAGAACCTCTTTAAATTTCAGTGTTTCTAAATACTTTGTAATGCTTTAACTGTATCAAATGTTTGTATCAGCAGTAGTGTTGCATTCTGTATTAAATCTTTCCATTTTTAATTAGACCGTGTCATTATACATGCTTTCGAAGCATGAATGCATGATCTTTCTGTTGGCATGTTTTAGATATGGGATAAGTAGCTGAAAGTTATGACTAAGGGTTTGAAAATATTTCATAGTTAAGTATTCAGTACTTGTGTGGAGAGTGTGAATATGTAAGAATACTATCACGCATATCCATTAATTGCATTTTGGTTATTGCCATTTTTACATGCAATAAACTTATGTGAAACAACCTCTAAACAGCTTCATGAAAACATTCTTGGGCATAATTAGTGAGGAAGTAAGGGCATTAGTGTTGATGTATGCCAGTTTTTTCCAAACAGTATTTGGAGTGCTACTTTACTATTATTCCACCAGTATTTCAGTGTTGGACAAACTACATTTGAGCTTTTTGCCTGAAAGGTTTTTCCCAATTGTAAACTATAAATAAATACGAAGTGGGTGATGGTCTGCTGCTTTAAACAGCATGTCATGAATTTCTCACTGGCTGTGCAACATTCTCATTTCAACTGTAGTTCCTGGATTTTAAATGGATTTTCAGTAGTTAATCAATACGTAAGCTGTTGAAGTAAAGACCATTTTTCCATGCTAAATTTTGTCAGTAATTACTGTTGGGCTAACAGGAAAGAATGTGTTAAGAATACAGAGCATGAATTTGGCATGTGTTCCATTTTATTACTACTTAGAAAGTTAAATAAATGTTTGTGTTTCCCCCCTATGGACCTCTCTACAGGCAAACGTCCTGCAGAAGATATGGAGGAAGAGCAGGCCTTCAAAAGATCTCGGAACACAGATGAGATGGTTGAATTACGCATCCTGCTTCAGAGCAAAGTATGCTTTTTTGTTTTTACTGGTTTTGCTTATAGCATTGCTCAAGGCAGTGGTGACCAAGTGTATGTTGGGATGTATGTTTAGAAAGAATATGTACTTTATTTAGTATGAGAGAGCTTACTAGGAGTAATTTTAACTGTGCTTGAATGATAGTAAAAGTGTATTGCAATGGAATTATCTTCAGCCATTCTTTTAAAGGGGAAGTCCCTAAGGATCAGCACAGTTATTTTTAAGACATGTACTTGCTGAAAAAATAGATCAATAGAAATTCTAAGGGATTTTTACATTTGAGTGGAAGGTTGTTATTTTGAGGGGAATGACTGTGTATTAGTCTTTGGAAAGGAAGCGATTTAGAGAATGATCAGCTATAGTGATTGTAAATTAAATATGAGAGGTGAGATGAGAACTTCCTTAGGATTTTAGTAACTCCCAAACAGATCTACTAAACTTGTTCAAATATATCAACAGGAAGAAGTGTGGGAGTAATGCTTCAGGGATTGCAATAGTTTTGTTGACAAGTGTAAATAGTTACAGTAAAGTTGCTATGTATTAATTTCCTCTGGTGTTTCCAGTTTGTACAGATGATTTGTACTTTCTGAAGTATCTCAGTCTTTTGTGTTGGTATGGGGGAATGTTACTTAACTCTGGGTGGCGTTTCTGACCACTAGTTAAGTTACATGGGGTACCATGAAATGTTTTGCATGCTGTTAGCATAATGTATTATCTGTGTGGTAAAAGCAATATTTTCACATGTAATCCTTGAAATAGCCTGGTATTTTATTTATAGTTTTGCAATTCCTCTTCTTGACTATCTGCCAGTTTATTCCTGTTGATGTTAGAAACTTGAAATTAGTGGCTGTTAACATTGGCTTTAACCTTTTTTAGAATATACTGCTCTGAGAAGTCAGTTAAGTTACAGAGGTATAAACCGAAATTAGCCTTGAAATGATCAAGAAATGTTTGGAGTGCAAAAGTGGAATTTGCAAACATAATTCCAAAAAAAAAAAAAGGCGGTGGTGGTGGGGAAGCTGGTTGATCACATAAATCAGGGAGATCATTGACCTACATTACATTCATACAGTGTATTTTTTTGAAAGCTATAGTCTTAGGAGATTGCTTTAACACAGGCGGAATTGCCTAGAAACTTGAATTTGGAATTGAAATATTGGTTGCAAAACTGAATATCCTTCTCTTTCCTAAGTTCAGTGGTAAGAGCTGTTGGTAATTTTTTTCCACAGACAAACAATATCAGTTTGTTTCAGTTTGATTTGAACCTTTCAAAAGCAGTGCCTGCCTGCCCCCACCCCCTGGGCCAACAGGGTAATGCAAAAATAGATTTACCATTGTTAGTCTTGAGTTCAAAAATGTAGTCTGTGCTGTGTTGGCATAACATAACTTCTGAAACCTATTTTCCAGAATGCTGGAGCAGTGATTGGAAAAGGTGGCAAAAATATTAAGGCACTTCGTACAGACGTGAGTATATATGAGTTTGAACTAATTTAACACCAATTCTTTCAGAGCACTACCTCGAAAGCTTGATTGCGTGCATTTCTAGAAATGGGAGCAGTTCAACTCTAGACATCAGCAGTCTAGTTACAAACCATTTGTTAATGATTGTTAGAGTAGATAACTTAGTTCTTCAATTTCTATTGTAATTAAAACCCAGCTTGACTCGTGGGAGGAGAGGTTTATATTAAATCTCTTCACTTTTGAATAGGATTCCACTAAATTACACACTTCAAGTGAGTTAACATCCTAATTAGAAATATTGACAAAGCTTAAAACCCTTAATTGCACCGTTTTCCCATATGTGTGAATCAATTATAGTACTACTGAAACCATTGCAGGTGGCTGGCTTAACCCAGTGATAGAGGAATTCTCTAACTTCCTTTAAAAAAGCAGACAAACAAAACAGTCCATCTGTTCTTTAACAGCTTGCACATGAAGCACAAAAGCATTAATGTTAAGGTTGCTTGATTTAAATATGGGTATAGAACAGTAAAGGAACATTCTCTTCTGTTACTTGGAAGTATTTTCAAATGGTCATGACTTATTTGCCTATTCACATTTTACAGTGGGTTGACTCTTGTGATTAGACACATGCTCAGCGTTAATGTTGTGTATTTATAAAACTTGGCAATGCTTCTTAAATTCCATTTGTTTACACTCCTGTACTTAACATCAGCTACAATTTCAACAGTTTTTCCAATCAAGACTCTGTTCAACACAAGATCTGGCAATATATCATTACAAATCAGTTCCAACTAAGTGCATAAACTACCGCAACTAGAATTGAGGTTTAAGTTGAAATGGTCAGGAATCATACCTATGCTCACTAACTTTGGCAGCTAGTTTTTTTTTTTTAGGTGTTTTTTTTTTGTGGGTTTTTTTGTGGTTTTTTTAAATAAATCAATACGTCACCTAAGTCCAGATAATGTAGATTGGTCTGGAAAACTAACCTTCCCGATTTGCCCAAGGTTCTAGTAATACCTATCTCGACAGGTTTTGTGTCTACCCTCATGAGCCAGCCTGCTACTGAAACATCATATGTTAAAAGTAAAAAGTAGTTTAGTCAGATCAAGTGACTCATTTTTAAGATCCATTCTGTTAAACCACAGTCGGTGTAGCAATCCGTTATTGTGTTAGTCTTCAGAACAACTTAAACTTGTTTCATTAATTGAGAGTAATGAGTATAGTTTGTATTAAATTAAAATTTATTGCTTTTCCCCCTTTTCCCTCTCCTTGTTTTTTTGGCCATATATCTCCGTTGCCCATGTACTGGATCGACTTGCCCCTGCGTTGCCCACCATGACGTTGGCCCATCCGCCCCTGAACGCCCATGTGAAAACCCTGGTTGGCTATGCCCAAAAATGTGCTCGTTGCCAAACGGGTACCATACTTGACAACTTCCGATTGAATACCCATGCCCAATGCCAACATCCACGAACGCCAATGACCAATGCAGTACAATGCCAGTGTTTCAGTCCCAGACAGCAGTGGCCCCGAGCGGTATGTCCCAACAGTTTATGCCTCACTGCCTGATTAGAAAGAGAGAAATGTATTTTATTACCTGCCTTTGATATAATTAAATAGTATCCCCTTATAGACGGTGTATTGTTTTTTTTCAAGTTTTCTGTCTTATTTTCCCCATTAAGTCTTTTTGTCACTGAACTTTTACGTGAGTTGCCCACCCAAACAATCCACTAATTTTATTTCAATGGAAGGAGCACAGCTTCAAGTGTTGCATATTTGCTGCATTGTAAATCAAAATGTTTCAAAATAGTCTCTCGCTCTGTCTTTGTGGCCCACCTTGCTCCCCTCAACATTGCCTGTTCATAATTATTTCTGATGAAATGCTAACTCTGGTTCACTTTCCTTCACTTCTCATTTGTTTTGTCTTTTTTTTGTCTTGCATTTGTATTTGTTTTCCCGGAGAGCCCATTAGTAATCTGATTTCTAACTGGTCTCATAACCTTACTCCAGATACAATGTTCACCACTTGCATATCCCCACTTTTTCTATGAGAAGGTGTGCCAGTTTTACCGATGTAATAGCGAGGGTATCTTAAATTAGTGGTGGCGGGGAACATGAATATTCACTTCTGCTTTCAGTTCTGCGTCAATTTCTTGCCCACTTAATCTGAGCCCTTCCAAAAGCCCATTCTGTCTGTCTTTCTCTCTCTCTCTCTGCAAGACCTACCTAATCTTAAATATATCATGCATATGTATTGGGCATAAACAAAGATGCATGTGTTGTAAACTGAGCAAAGAGGTTTACTTTAACTGGGGAATATTAATTGTAAGCTCTTCTGTGTAGTAAATCTTGTTAGAATTTTGTATATGATGATGAAAAAAATATACTTCTTTTCCACCCTCTCCATATTGTCTGGTGTTACGGCCTCCAACAGCATCTTGAGCATAAGTGCAGACATAGAGACAATTGGAGAAATCCTGAAGAAGATTATCCCCACTCTAGAAGAGGTATGTCTGTTAAAGTTTGTTTCTTTTTAGAGGCAAAAGATCGGCTTTTGGAAAAAAGACGGTTCTGGATTATTTTCCACTTTTTAAATACAGGAGATTAGAAAATAAAAAGAACCTTCTAGAGTTGTGGCTCTGAAACTACATGTTGGCACTTTTTTGGTAGAGGACAGATTCAGTCACTGTGTATTAAATTAACATTTGGAACAGCTTCCCCCTTTCAAAGTACCTGCCTCCTGACTTGTTTCATCCCCATTTTGGGGTAGTTATATTGTGACTTGTATCCTGTGTTGGCTCTGTAAGAGTGTTGCACAGTGTTTGATATCTTCTTAAATCTTCGTAGAAAGTTATGTAATGTAATAAATAAGGAAACCTGATTTGACATCAGTTTATGTTGAGGTTAGGTGCTTAAATAGTTGTGATTCTATCAAAGGAAATGCAGGATTACAATTCAGCAATAAATCAAGTCATACCGTTGTGTATGGAGAAAAAACTTGACAAAGCTCCAAATACTAAATTTTTATGTGACTAATATTCTTTTTCTTGTATGCATTTTTCTTACAGTATCAACACTACAAAGGCAGCGACTTCGACTGCGAATTAAGACTTCTCATTCACCAGAGTTTGGCAGGAGGAATTATTGGTGTCAAGGGTGCTAAAATTAAAGAACTGAGAGAGGTACTTTTTTCCTGTTCTTCTGAGATTCGGGTTTTGTTCAATAAACACCTTAGTGGTTTGTGTTCATAAGGGGCAAGTGTAAGTATCTTCTATGCAGTAATTCCTTCAGAACATACTGCATACATGTTCTGAGATGGGTCTGTGAGTTGCAACTTCCTTGCAAACCCTCAGAAGTAAAGTCATTGTTGGTGATAGAGCCTAGGACTTCTTACCAGGCTTCTAACAAATACTTGTGGTAATGTTTTTTAAAAAAAAAAAATCCTTTCTTTAATTAAAATGACGTTCATCACTCCTAGACTGCTACGTAGTCTAGATTTATTTGTGTGGTTGGACATGCAAAATAGTTTAGGGTGAATGCATCTCCACAAACTCTTATGATGATAATTCAATAGATGCCTGAATGTTATTGTAAAGGGGCTTTATTATTGTAAATTTTTTTTTTAATTCTACCTCCTAGAAGACCATTGTTTTTGTTCAGTGAAGGAATGAGATTTTAAAAAGCTAATGGTCTCTATGAACTTAAACCACCTCAGTTTTCTGTCCTTTCTTGGCATTGTGTCAGAGGCAATTTCAGATTAGTTCAGGTAGAAGCTGATACCTGTTTGCATGGGTTGAGAAAGGCAAGATAACTAGACATAATCCTAGCAACATCGATGACTTGTACCAAAAGCCTGTTTTCTTGACACACGAAGGTTAATACAACCTCTAAGCTCGCAATGGATATGTGGTCCTTTTGCTAGTATTTAATTAAATGATGGTGTAGATAGATGAGCCATAACTAAAGAGGAGAAATTGGAACTTTTTCTCTTCATACTAAACTGTGTCAGCACAGATCTTAAAAAAAAAAAAAAAAAAAAAGTAATCTTAAAATTAAATTTGTTGTGAGAACTCAGAAGCAAGCATGCACGTAAAATAGCTGGGAGCTTAATTGTCTTTCGGATTTTTTCTTTAAAAATGTTTTAATGGGTTTGTAAAGTTGTTTAAAATACATAAATTAGACAATCTTGGATCTTTTTTTTCTTCAACAGAACACTCAGACCACCATTAAGCTCTTCCAAGAGTGTTGTCCTCATTCTACTGACAGAGTGGTGCTTATTGGTGGCAAACCTGATAGAGTCGTTGAATGTATCAAGATTATCTTGGATCTTATCTCTGAGGTAACGTTTATTAAATTTATTTTATTCTTTCATTGGCATTCATGAATGGTGGGGATCATTTGAATGAAAAACGATACCTTTCAGTTTCTATTTTGAATTCAGTACCTCCTGATTTCTCAGTAATGGAAGTGGTTGACTTACCACCTTTTGAAACTATTTCCGTTTTCTAGAATTGGGAGGCACCTTATGGGGGAGGGAAGCAGTTTTTGGTCCTAGTGGGCCATTATTCATGCTTTGCATATCATTAAGATGCAAAAATTGAAGAGAAAGGGAGACAAAATTTATTTGCCACTGATAAGTAACAAGAGTTTCTCTATCACAGTTAAGTTTACAGGAAACACAACACCATGTCCTTTCTTACCAGCATTGTGAAATCAAGAACGTGTTCCAAATGCATAAATTCATATTTATACATTTAATATATTAATTTAATTAAATATGTCAATCTTAATAGTCCTAATTGGGTTTGGGGGGATTGTTTTTTTGTCTGTTTGTTTTAGTCTCCGATTAAAGGACGAGCCCAGCCTTATGATCCCAATTTCTATGATGAAACATATGATTATGGTGGCTTCACAATGATGTTTGATGACAGAAGGGGACGTCCAGTAGGCTTTCCGATGCGTGGAAGAGGAGGGTTTGATCGGATGCCCCCTGGTCGTGGCGGACGACCTATGCCTCCATCAAGAAGAGATTATGATGATATGAGTCCTCGCAGAGGACCCCCACCACCTCCACCAGGTCGTGGTGGTAGAGGTGGCAGCAGAGCTCGGAATCTTCCTCTCCCTCCTCCACCACCTCCTCGTGGCGGGTGAGTTGTTGCATAAATGCATTACACAAAACTCATATTGTGTACAATCTTCTGAATCATGTTCATCTTTCCAGTGTTTTTTCCACACTTCCATGTTGATAGTGATTATGCAGGATTGAGTGTGTATTAGACCAGAGTATTTTGAGAAGTACTGGAATTCAGTTATTTGCTGCACTGTAGTAGTCTAGCACAACTGTAGTCAGTAGTTCTGAAACTTTTAAGTCATTCAGTACTTGGCTAGAGTAGTTTGAAATTAAGCTATGTGTGGACCATGAATGTGAAAATTTAAATTAGAATAGACAAACTAGTTTATAATGCAATTCACATGCTGCTGCTTTTTTCATTTTAGAGATCTTATGTCCTATGACCGAAGGGGCAGACCAGGAGACCGTTACGATGGCATGGTACGAGTTGAAAATTTGCCTTGTTATGCTTCGTAAACCCAGTTAGAATGCTGACTGTCTGAAGATACTGTTGCTGAACACATGCACTTAATTGTGGGACATGCATGGTTCTGATGATACAATCAAAATGTTTTGTCCATAAAAATGGTCCCTCCTGTGGAGGAATGTTTGGGGTGTAAGTGGTATCTGAGACATGATCTGTTTTCCTTCTTTCCTCCCTGCAGTCAAAAATTATACAGAAGGTTTGACTGTGTTCTACCCTGCAGGTTTTCTTGCACTTAACCATCCTTTAGAATTTTTTTTTTTTAAATCAGGATGACAGAAATAGGAATTGGTAGGCTTTTCAGATAAAGAAAGATGACAGAAATAGGAATTGGTAGGCTTTTCAGATAAAGAAAACATGTCAGAACAACGTTCTCTCAAATTCTTTGATTCATATAAACATTCTTAACACTAATCTTGGAAAACGCAAGTGTAGATAGAATAATAGAGATTATAGAATAGTATCTATGAGGAGCTCTAGTTGATCTGGAAGGTGATTGTTCTTTTGAATCAGTTCTTGCCTATTTGCTGGTTTCTCTGTCTGCAAAAAATCTACTGTAATTCCAACTGTTTTGGAGCTCAGGCCACTGCTAAGTTGAATCCTAAATTAAATTAGGTACATTCAACAGTATTAATGCTAATACTTGTTGAGGAAAAGAAATACCGCATCGTATATGGAAGCTTAAAAAAGACTTAAAGATATTCTTCCATGTTGTAGTCTGAAATGTAACTTCCCAGCAGTCATCTGCTGTTGTAAAAGATTCCTCTTTCTTGGGAAGAGAAATCACATGTGTCTGGGAGGTAAACCTCTGTAGTAACAATCTTTTCTCCTCTGGCTTTGTTTGGCACCTTCTTTAAGATGATAGGTGAGACAGGTTTGTTGTTTGCTTTGTTTGGCCCCTTCTTTAAGATGATAGGTGAGACAGGTTTGTTTTTTTTTTTTTTTTTTCTTTTAAATAAATGGAGGAGAAAGGGGTGGAGAAGAGCTATGAAATGGGCTACCTAAATGGGCTTCACACATTTCCTCCTTCTTGGGAGTAAGAGTTACTGGAAATACGTATTGCAAGAATGTCACATGCTTGCTAGAAATACTGAAAGGAAAGAGTTGCACACAGTTACAAAAAAAAGACGTGTTACCCATGCTACTCTACATGTTAAGAAACTGGAAGAATTGAGAAGTACACCTTCAAGATTCCTTATTTGTATTTAGATGTTTTCAAAACTAAGTTTTTTGTGTTCTTATATTTGTAGCTAATAAAGCCAGTGCTAGAGCATATAAACTGAGCAGCCTGCCCTTCTGTGGGTATCTGGTTGAGCACAGCCTTACTTAGCTTGACTCTTGGTCAGTAGTGTGTTCTATTTTTATTGAATTCCAGCTAGAATAGAAAAACCATTTGACTTCTGTTTAGCCTGACTTTTGTCAGGTTGACCTTTGCTTTTTTGACATGAGTTTCTACAAGTAGGTAGAGTCACCTCTGTTCACTTCTTCATTCCAAAAAACAATTTTATTTGCTCTTCACAGTAAAGCTGCTCATGGCTTCAGCTCCTTCATGACCAAGTATCATAGCCTGGTTAAAGTGAGGACTGCTTCCCAAGAAGGACCATTTAATTTCTAGTTATAGTTAACAGTGATCCTAGTACCCTAAATCGTGTAAGCAGATAGGAAGTCCTCACATGGATTGTGAAGCTGGAGCTGGAAATGTCATGCCAGAAATGTAAGGTCTTCCTATGCTAGCCTTTGTTTCATACAGAAACCATTCTCTAACAAAACATTTAAACTAGAGTGAACCAACGTCATTGTGGTTTGTGAACTAAGTACATGGGAAAGGGTGCTCTCAGAGAGCAGAAGTGCTCTTTCACATAGATTCTATTTTACATAGATGCAAAAAAAGGCAAGAGTAGGTGCTTTTCTCAGATGAGCATCTCGAAAATGATGGAAATGAATGGACAGGAATAATTGGTTGCCAGTTCTGTTTTCCACTAAAGGTAGAAAGATTGAGTAGTTCAGGACCTTTAGAACTGGATGCTGAACTTTGAATTTTCTGGAATTCCAGAGAAATGACAGTTTTGACAGCCTTGTAAATGCTGAAATGAGGAGAAACCCATTTTGATTTTAAATGATAGGTTAATTCCCCTTGCCCATGCAGAGTCACCCACTTAAGATACTTGTCTGTTAGCCTGGCTTATAGTTGTAGTTTAATTACGCACTGCTGTTGAAAGAGTTAATTTGGTTTATAATCTCTGTTCTGAAGCATTTTCCTGAAGGACAGACTGTGGTATTGTTTCTCTGTTAACAGAGCTGTGTATTTCAGTGTGTAACTACTCCAAATCAAATGCCTGTGGACCGACCATAAGGACTATTCTGACAGCTGAACCTCCCCCCCGAATGTATTTCCAGTATTTCTCTTTTAACACCCTCATCCTCAGAGGTCTTTTAGATACATAAATGCAGACAGATACCAGTGGGAGGGGTGGAAAATAAGTTGGGCAAGCATATAAAGTCATTTTATCCCCTCACCTCTTTTTTTGATTAACTAATCAGGTACTAAATTTTTCAAAGTACTAACAATTTTAAAAACTGAGTGAACGGAGACTTAAGTCAGAATGTCTCCTGTTAAGTGGACTGTCTCTTCACAGGCTTCTGTAAGTGTCTTCAGACTTCTAATGTGCTTTTGCTCCTTCACATGCTTCCTAGTTCTTTTTTTAACTTACATATGTGTGTGTACATACACATGTGTCTTGACGTATAGACACTTGAATAAAGGCACGTACACTTAAAAAAATACAAAACGTTCTTCATGTTTAAGAGACGTGACATTAACAAGCATGTGAAAAAAAATCAGTAAAGGAAGAATGTATGACAACTCTTCAATTTATTCATGCAGTTGCTGGAAAAAAGTAACAAAATTGCACTCTCCTAGGTCAGTCTGTTAAAAAAAACAGAGAAAATTATGATAAAAAATTTTACATCAGTTAGGACTGCATGCATTTTCTTTCATTAGATGTAAAAGCTAAGCTCTTTGTCTTATCTAGCCAGTGTGTCACCTAGTTTCTATTCTAGTATCAGTAGTTACTAGCACAAATGAGTCTGTAGAGCAGAATATTCTGTTACGTATGTTAAGATGTTCTATTTGAGATGCTGGTTTTAGAGTGCACAAATGAACATCAGTTGCTGAAATTGTAGAATTCTGAAAGAAAGAAATGCTATATATCCCATGTTTTAAAAACATAATTAAATTTCTAACATAGTTAGGCAGCCGTGAATTGTTAGTCTAGCTATTGGCTATATGAAGCATATGGAAATGAATTGGTAGAACATGAGAAGCAGTGTCCTTCCTGCTTGGCCTGCTGTTGGCATAGAGGTAATCACTGACAGTTACTTGTTTCAATCTTATTAAACCTTCATTTTCTAATGGATGGCAGAAATAAAAGATTTTTCTAATGCATAGCAGAAATAACAGATTCTGATATATAACAACACTTGAAGGTGTTCTAAAGAAAAAAAAAAAGCTTGTTCAAGTTTTGCTCTGCCATTAGCTGTCTGACCTTTGTTAGAAGAAAAATCTGTTTATATCACAGAAAGAGGGGAGGAAGTGAGTATGACCACTTACAGGTCCCTCAAAGTGAGCTTAAAAGGGAGTGAGTCTTCAGTGGTCTAAATCACATACTTTTTAAGTCTTTGTTGTAGTATAAATGTTTATCTGTACCAGTACGTATTGTATATGCTTGCCAAGTTACCTATAAGTCTGCATGACATGGACTTAATTTAGATTTCTTTCTTTCCTCCTATTATGTGGTGTCTGGAAGATGATGCAGTGTCATGTGGATGCCTGTGATGACATGCAGCCACCGGAGTTGGTGAGTGTGCTCAACCTTTTTTTGAAAACTGCTTTATTGAATAGGTTAAATGATAACAGGAATTTCTTGATCTTCAGTGTAGTCAGTGGCAGCTTGCACCTACTGAAAATCATAAAGCTGTCCTTCTGACTCAGAATTTATTGGCAGTTTGTCTTAACAGTGTGTCCTGTGCAGGGGGGTAACGTTAGTAGGAATGTGGAAATATGCAGCACCACAGCCAAAAGAGAGGAGCTTTTCTGTATCTCTTTTTGCCTCTTTTACACCCCATTTTTGTGTTGTAAACAGTAACTTTCTCCGTAACTGATGCACTGTAGATGCATGCATGTGGGATACGTATTTTGTATTAACTTCATAATGTTGTGTTTTCTCATATTTCAAACAGCAGATATTACAAGTAGCTTCTTACTTGTATTTATGGATAAACTATTATGCTTTACCTATCAGTGTATTTGAAAATACACCATTTGATTGGATAGGTTTTGGGAAGGGAAGTTACGGAGTTTGTCAGGTGTTCATGCTGTCTAGAAGATGACAAAGTGCTGCCAAATATTAAACGGCAGTTCTTGACTTACATGAACACAGCAAATGTAATTGTTTAACTCATCTGCTGTCAAGTTCATTTGCTGTCCTGTAGTCTGGGGAGGCAGAAATGGTCCAAGGAAGGGATTGTTATTTAAAACAGATTATAGAATCATAGAATGGTTTAGGTTGGAAAAGACCCTTAAGA